AGAGAGAGAGAGAGAGAGAGAGAGAGAGAGAGAGAGAGAGAGAGAGAGAGAGAGACTACCAGGCTTTATAATCCTCTTCATTCTGCCAAATCAGGTCAGCCACAACACACCCTGCCAAAGCCTCGTTACCCAACACCACCCAGGCCGTCACATTTCACGTTTTCAGTTGTCAAAACACACAGATTCTATGACCTGATCTTGTTTTTTCTGATCTAGTGAATTCCATTCATTCTATCCACAGAAAATTATTTTGCGCTAATATACTGTATAAACCTTTTAAGACAGAGCTAGCATGAGCTCAGTGATTATTAAATGGTGGTATATGCTTCTGTGGAAGCTATAAATAGTTTTAATTTAACTTCATGCTTAAAAAATTGTTTAATTGGCAAGTTCCCGGTGAAACACTACACTTCATGTCGCTGTCACGATGGAAACGAGAACTGCAGTGACCAGCATAAAGCACTGTGATTGAAGTGAGTTAGTTTCCTTAAATTTAAATAAATAAATAATACTTTCATTCAGCAAGGATATTTCAATTTGATCACAAAAAAGTGTTACACCCAAGTTAAAAAAATTATTGCTGTTCTTTTGAACTTTCTATTCTTAAAGAATCATGAAAAAAATGTAGCATGGTTTCCACAAATGTTTCCAACGTTGATTATAGCAAATACCAAATCAGCCTAATCGAATGATTTCTGAAGGATCATTTTACACTGAAGACTGGAATAACTCCTGAAGACTGCAATAGCAGCTTTTCCATCAAAAGAATAAATTACATAATATTTGTAATAATAATGTAGTAATATTTGTAATAATATTTAACAATATCACTGCGTTTACTGTATTTTTTAATCAAATAAATGCTGCGTTAATGAGCATAAGAGACTTTGTTAAAAAATCTTACTGGCCCCAAACCTTTGAAAGGTACAGTATGTCTAAACTAATTTAGACATTAATTTCAATGTGAATAGCGTTCAGTTGTTTCTTATTTGATAGTATCATTCACAATGCTTCACACGGTCTAGTACTTATCTTTATTTCCAATTTTTAAACAATTTCTTGTGTTTTTATTTAAAATGAATTTTGCAACGCGAATCATTTCAGAGCTGGTTGTTTTGGTTGAAGGCATTGAACTCCAGTGTTTCCCCTAGGTTTACGGCTTGGGGGGGGTTAAATTAAATTTTATGAATCAAAAAGCATGTCTAATTAATTAAAATCATGAAACGTAACCAATTTAACATCAATTTATTAAAAGTTTAACAAAAATTACATGTTTAGGGCCCTATGAAATGTTTTATTTTTTCAAACCTTATGTTTTATTGTTACCAAATTCTGATTTAGCATGTCTAATTATTTGAAAGCATAAAAACAAGTTTCATTTATTCTTACAATAGCCTTATGATTTTTTGCTCAGAAATTTTGTGTTGTGTATTTACATTTTTAAGGCATAAACTATTCATTTAATCCATCTTTTAAGTAATGAAAATGAAAGAAATAAAAAAAAATTGGAAAATAAAGGTCATTTAATATTACAATTAAAACACTGAAGAAATATTGTATGATTATTCCTTAAAAATAAGGTTTTAATAATTTAGCAGCCTATTACGTACATTCTACTGAACAATAGTAATATATTTCTGCCGCAATGCCTTCAAGTTAAACCGAACTTTTATTTTGACGGGTTGCCGTGAATACCTTTACATTTCTGTGTGTATATGATATGAGGATAGTGTTACTCAAATGAAACGGTCAAATGCTCATGAAGTGACTCTCAGAGCAGTTCTGGAGATGTTGTTCATGTATTTATGTCCTCATTTACTGAGATGGCAGACGCTAAAATCACTGAAGCGTCACGCAAGTTTCAGTACAAGTGGTAAACAAAACCGCATGTCTGCGCCATTCATTAACACAGAGACACAAAGAATTCATATTTAAATAGTCGTTTTGCGGCTTAATATTTACAAATACTAGTGGGAGTGGGAGTGTGCTCACTTGTGTGTGCACGCACGTGTGTGTGTGTTTGTGTGTGTGTGTGCGCGCACGCATCGGGGCGGAACTCCGCTGTGCATTATACAGAGCGCGCGACCATAACGTAGAGACAGAAATAAGATAAATAACATAAGGCCATTTAGTTTGTTTAATAAAAGAACAAGGTATTGACCTGTTCTATCGGAAAGGTAACTTTAAATGACTTCTGTTGTGATCTGGCGCTATAGAGAAAATATAATTAAATAAAATTAACTTGACCTTCAAGGGGGGCGGGGGGGGGCCGTTGGGGGTGCGGGCCGCCCCCCTAATATAATGGCAGGGGAAACACTGAACTCTGAAGAATCTTTTGAAAAGTCTCAGCTACTGTACTAAATAAACCACTGCATAAACATACAACACACTTTTAGAGGGCAAAAGAGGGTAATCACTGAAGCCTAGGGTCAGATGATGTCATAGATGGGGTTGCTGCTCAGACCATCTGTCAGCTGGCTCCTTCCTACACAACACTCTTGTCAACTACAGCAAATTAGTCACCAAAACAGTCCTTGAAAAAGACAGTGAGGATACCTGCATCTCAATACACACACAAACTCACCCACACATATATACTCGCACATCAGCAAACTTCTTTCTGACTCTGAGAGACATCCACTTCAGTTTTATGGGTTACTAGAATAAGG